TTTAATTCAATTAACTAATGATTTATAAATGATGTGTATAATTACATATCGATCTTTGTCAGCGGATAACTAAAAAGAATGACCGTAAGCTTAAATCCCATTCTTGTTGACTAAAAGGACGTAGAAATTACCCATGTCGAGATTTTTCAGCATGGTGTCATGGCGATAATTTACTAAAATGTACGTCAACTAAAGTTAGTCAAGTCGAGCATGAAAGAAAGGATCGCCAAATCGCCCCCGATTTAGCGTTGAAACGTTGGAATCGAGAAGTAATAAAACAGATTATCCACTAGTCCTCGCCACCTTACATCAAGTTCTTCCAATATTTAGATGAAACCGTAGCTAAATATTCTCAGAACTTTATGTAAGGTGGCGGGGCTGTTGTCTACCGTAGGCTAAAGACAGACTCATTCTTGCACTTGACTACTGAATATTACCATACATACGATTCATATTCGTCTGTACACGATCATGGTAGGCCTTTTCTGAAATCAAACATCTAATAAGCATGTTCAACTCCAATTTGATTTATTGGATCCCATTTCTTTCCCTTATTCAGGAAAAATGGTGAAAGCGCTCTGTTGTTGGGTATTGAAGAACTATCGACGGTAGACTAAAGGCAAAGGGATTGATGATGACTATGCATTAAGTTGATAGGCATTTTCTTAAATGATTGCGTCGTTGAAAAAGGCCTTGCATGTCCTTTAGGGATGTTACTGCCGGAAATCACTGTGTTTGAAACGGACTTGTACAGTAAATGATCATTGGGCGATGTTATTGGCAGTTTTAAGAGTAGAAATGATTGTTTTTTTCGCCTCTCCCCCTTTCCTCATTTTCATCATCATTTGTACTGGCACAGCGTGATGTTCTTGTTGTTTCATTTCTGTCGAAAATAAAATGATAACCTACTAGTTGATTGGATTAAACCCAATGACTGTATATACAGGCTCTCCCATGATTAGAAGGAATTTTTCCCTATTCTAGCACAGTTATGGCTACTTTGCAATCCTACACATGGATAAAAAAGAATACCCTGGCCTTGCCGCCCATGGCATGCATTCAGTTGATGGCGATGATATTGAAGTAGTGCAGTCGATGTGGAAATGAATGGAAAATGGAATGGGGAATAAAGCATTTGCTGAGACAGAAAACAATGTTAAAATAAAAAGATTCATTCATGAATGGAAAATGGATCATGATGCAATCAAAGTGATTGTCCTGTTTGTCAAATAACAATCAAGGCAATCCATATGTGGTTATCGATCGGTGGGGAAAGACTCCTTCGCCATGGATGAGAAACGCTCCATCCACTTCATCATCGTCATGTTATTCTCCATCTTCTGACTCAATGCTCGACGCCCATGTCAACGATGATTGCATGGTATACACGTTAATTAGGCCATCCAATTGATTGATGCATTTTAATTCTATAATTCTATTAGTGATTAGTGATGGTCCAACCTAAATCAGCGATCGATTGCGATGATGATCGTTTCCACTTGATGTACTATTGACCCTCAGCTGTGAAAAAAGGGAAAAAATAGAATGCCATCCAAAATGGAAAATTTCAACGGTACCCATCCATTGCGATGGTCTTGCCATACGCATAGTTAACGATGATGAATGCCGTTGCTTCCCCTTTCCCCCCCCCCCCCAAAAAAAGTAAAAAGTAAGGAATCCAATTTCCGCCATGGATTCCATAAAGCAAGGCGTTGAATTTCGTCGTCTTATCCAAATACTGTAGCCATGTCATGACTATTTTATCATTTGCTCGCCATGTATTGAAAACAATCAAAACAATCCTATTTTAATATGATGATAAGATAGATAGAAACGATAACGATAAAAAAAGTAAAAAGTAAGGAATCCAATTTCTGCCATGGATTCAATAAAGCAAGGCGTTGAATTTCGTCGTCTTATCCAAATACTGTTAGCCATGTCATGACTATTTTATCATTTGCTCGCCATGTATTGAAAACAATCCTATCTTAATATGATGATAAGATAAATAGAAACGATAACGATAAAAAAAGTAAAAAGTAAGGAATCCAATTTCTGCCATGGATTCAATAAAGCAAGGCGTTGAATTTCATCGTCTTATCTAAATACTGTAGCCATGTCATGACTATTTTATCATTTGCTCGCCATGTATTGAAAACAATCAAAACAATCCTATTTTAATATGATGATAAGATAGATAGAAACGATAACGATAAAAAAAGTAAAAAGTAAGGAATCCAATTTCTGCCATGGATTCAATAAAGCAAGGCGTTGAATTTCGTCGTCTTATCCAAATACTGTTAGCCATGTCATGACTATTTTATCATTTGCTCGCCATGTATTGAAAACAATCCTATCTTAATATGATGATAAGATAAATAGAAACGATAACGATAAAAAAAGTAAAAAGTAAGGAATCCAATTTCTGCCATGGATTCAATAAAGCAAGGCGTTGAATTTCATCGTCTTATCTAAATACTGTAGCCATGTCATGACTATTTTATCATTTGCTCGCCATGTATTGAAAACAATCAAAACAATCCTATTTTAATATGATGATAAGATAGATAGAAACGATAACGATAAAAAAAGTAAAAAGTAAGGAATCCAATTTCTGCCATGGATTCAATAAAGCAAGGCGTTGAATTTCGTCGTCTTATCCAAATACTGTTAGCCATGTCATGACTATTTTATCATTTGCTCGCCATGTATTGAAAACAATCAAAACAATCCTATCTTAATATGATGATAAGATAAAGAGAAACGATAACGATGCTACTACGACGTCTATCTTTCATCAACGTACCTCTTGATGGCGACTGGTTGTGTAATGACTTGGGGCTCGGAAACGTTGAAAATGGGCAAGAAATGGCTTGAGAATATGCGCTTGAGAAAATCCTTGTCCCGTGCCGGCAAGAGTATTGCATCGATTGCCGCTGCAAATACCCGATATATATTCTATAGGGTATATCATTAATTTTCCCTCTATTCTACTCTACTCGACTAACGGTATGGTAGGTAGTAGCCGTCTTCCCACACCCTGACTCAGTCGGCTGGTGCATGCACGCCTACCGTGTCAGACCGACGTTATGTCAACAAACGACAAGACAGTACTGTACTATAAGGAAATGACTCGAGCTTGTAGAGGAGAGACGGAGATAGCGCGATTCTGCTTGGAGTACACGTGTACGCTGATCGATCAAGCGATTTTTGTAGGGAATACTCCATCCAAATTGCCCCCCCCCCCCTCTGTGTATAAAAGTTGTCACTGTTGACTTGAGCAAGGCTGTCAGAATGGGTGACAATAGCTATGCACGGAGGGGAAATTGGGATGCAGTAGTCCCTACTTTTGTATAGCACAGGGAGAAGAAACGGTCGCTCACTAGATTCAAAATGGAGCATCCGGCTATTCCGTTGGTTATTTCAATGGAAAGTCGATCTGAAACGATATCCGATACTTTGGACGATTGTCATTAAGATTAGCGACGAACTTAGCGTACTAAAAAGGGGAGAGGGGTGACTATTCTGCTGGTCATTTCTATCTGAAACGATATACAATACTGGATTTTCGATCTGGAAAGGACATGACTGCCTTTTCTACCATTGACATGATAATGAGCAGCTTGATTGGTTTTATACAATGTACCTGCGTATAAATAGAATGACCAGAAAAATGATTTCTCGTCCCTCTCTCTTTCTACTGTACAGTGCATTAGGCCCGTTTATAATAACCCCGATTACTCAGCGTAAATAGCTTCAACGATGATGGAATACTCTAGGAGTCGTTCGAGCTATTTACGCTGAGTAGCGGAGTGATCGGGGCTATAGCTTAAACGATGGATGATATAATATTCTTCAAGTCGTTCGAGCTATTTACGCTGAGTAGCGGAGTGATCGGGGTTCTAGCTTAAACGATGGATGATACAATATTCTTCAAGTCGTTCAAGCTATTTACGCTGAGTAGCTGAGCAATCGGGATTATAGCTTAATTAAGCGATGACACAATATTCTAGCAGTCGTTCAAGCTATTTACGCTAAGTAGCTGAGCAAATGGGGGTTATTGCTTAATTAAGCGATGACACAATATTCTAGCAGTCGTTCAAGCTATTTACGCTGAGTAGCTGAGCAATCGGGGTTATAGCTTGAACGATAGATGATACAATATTCTAGGAGTTGTTCAAGCTATTGACGCTGGCTGAGCATCTGAGTGATCGGGGTTATAGCTTGAACGATAGGTGGTGCAATATTCTAGGAGTCGTTCAAGCTATTTACGCTGAGTAGCGAAGCAGTCGGGGTTATAGCTTGAACGATAGGTGGTACAATATTCTAAGAGTCGTTCGAGCTATTTACGCTGAGTAGCTGAGCAATCAGGGCTATAGCTTAAAACGATGGATGATACAATATTCTTCAAGTCGTTCAAGCTATTTATGCTGAGTAGCTGAGCAATCGGGGTTATAGCTAGAACGATAGATGGATGATACAATATTCTAGGAGTATTTACGCTGAGTAGCTGAGTAATCGCGGTTATAAATTCAACGATGGCACAATATTCTAGGAGTCGTTAAACCTATTTACCCTGGCTGACTAGCTGAGTAATGGAGGTTATTCTGAACAGGCCTACTGTTCAGTGTACAGTATACAGTACTGTACACTACAGTACATGAAATCGACTTTGGCTCCATGGCTTCTCCTTATTTTTAAGGACGAGTGCTGTCATCGCTACAGTACGGTACTGTAGCACTACAGTGTAAGTACCGTACCGCCTTGCAAAATTCCCGCGAAAATGGAACCTCCACAAAGAGAATAGGCGTACCCTAACGCCTGGCAGAGATTGTTACTGTCCATTCAAAAAATCAACTTGGCAACCTAATCCGTTCTCATCCACTTTTTCTCTCTTTCAAAGGTAAGGTTGGATTGTTATGAGCAATGATTATCCTTTAGCTCAAGCAGATGAGCTATAGTCAGTGTACTTGTTCTTGTTTTCATCGGTTTAGACAACGATGAATCCTACCAACGGAGAAGAGGTCGTCAAGAAGAGAACCGATTACATCTCGTGGGAAGAATATTTCATGGCCGTTGCCTTTCTATCATCGCAACGTAGCAAGGATCCTAATACGCAAGTTGGAGCATGTATCGTGAATCAAGAGAATAAAATTGTAGGAATAGGTTATAATGGTATGCCTAATGGTTGTAACGATGACGCACTACCTTGGGCTAGGGAAGCTTCCAATGCTTTGGATACCAAATATCCGTACGGTAGGTCGTATCATCCTCCAGTTTGTCATCGACATCATCCATGCTGTTGATGATACCATCTATGTTGTACTCATTCATTACTTCTCCTCTCTTCAAGCTAGTTTGTCATGCGGAAATGAATGCCATCTTGAACAAGAATTCATTCGATTTGAAAGGGTGTATCATCTATGTTGCTTTATTTCCATGCAATGAATGTGCCAAGTTAATCATACAATCAGGCATTAAAGAAGTGGTCTTTGTATCCGATAAATATCATGATACCGCTGCATCCACAGCATCCAGAAGACTACTCGATCTAGCTGGTGTAAAGTATAGGTAAGTAGCCTTCTAATGCTCTAATGTACACATAATGACCACTATTCAATCAATCAACAAACAACACTGACAGCAACCACTTTATTCCATTCATCATCATGCCCTTCCCTCTATGTATACGAGCGTATGAACAAAGTAGGAATGATTTACTTCAAGAGTAACCAGCAGCTGCCCTATCCACTGCATCGGTATTACTTCATAAATAGTAGATGGAGATAGGATCGTAATACTGACAGCAACCACTTTATTCCATCCATCATCATGCCCTTCCCTCTACGTATACGAGCGTATGAACAAAGTAGGAATGATTTACGTCAAGAGTAACCTGCAGCTGCCCTATCCACTACATCGGTATTACTTCATGAATAGTAGGTGGACATAGGATCGTATTACTAGCCATGATCAAACTATACAGTAGATCATGAGTTAACGTATTGGCCACTCAATTTTAGCTGTCTTTAATCTTGAAGAAAGCACTACACAACTTTTTTTTTATCTATTGTATAGTATAGAAAGTATAAGCGAGACTTGCAACGTATGATCAAACATTAGATCAAGAGTCAACGTATTCATCATTCAATATTAGTTATCTTTATCATAAGGAAAGCACGCTACTTCTTCATAATTTAAAGTTCGACCATGACTTGCTCGAATATTACTGTCTTTATCTCCATAAAAATACACGCTATTGCTTTATTAATCTCATAGAAAATACAGCAAGGATTGCCAATCTTGATCAAACTTTCAATCAACAGTCAATGTCCTGAGCATTCAATTTTAGCCATCTTTATTTCGAAAGAAAGTATAGAACTACTTTATTTACTGTATAAGAACATACATTTCCTCAGTAATGATTACAACTCACGGTCAAATTTTCCATCAGAAGTCAATATATGATCAGTAATGTTTAACCATCTTGATTTTAAAGAAAGGATAGCATTATTTCATTAACGGTATAGAAAACATTAGTGTTTCGTGATCAAACTTTGGATCGCTAACTTTCAGCTATCTTTATCTTGCAGAAAGTATACTGGCTGCGTTTCCTCTATTACGATCAAGTTTGACTGTTAAACGTCCATCAGGTTGTCAATTTCTTCCATTCCTGTATTAGTAATATATATACAATCCATGAGCATTTGTAATATAAGTGCCTATTTTATAATCATCGTCAATAGACCAGTAGTTAAAGCCTACGCATAATTTCTTATAAATTCATCTATAATATTGAAAGGATTCAAATGCAGAGATATCATTCAACCAGAAAGTGCTTAGTGCTAAACTGAAAGTCAAAAGTCAAAGCTGCAACCAGTACTAATGTAAAAAAATGTTCATCTGTACAATATGCAAATCGGTTTAAATAATATTTTCTACTTAGATACACCCATAACTTTCTTTTTGCATACTTTTGATGCTTTCAATGTATTACTATTCTCTACAAATATCCATGATATACATACATGAAGAATGTCACTGACACCCTAAACAAGTTGTAAAATCTAATCATTGATATGTTTAACAATCTTATAGCATCCAGCATTAATGGATGGCTGACTTACTTTATTGTCGATTTATGTCTCATCTCACTTTGTATCCATACTGTATAATTGCTTACGAGATTTTTGCTGCTCAACAATCTTTGAGCATCCAGTATTAAATTGATGCCCACTTACTTTTTAGAAGATTTATGGTTTTGTCTCACTTTGTACTCATACGGTATAACTACTTTCGAGAATTTCTTGTGCTGAACAATCTTTTAGCATCCAGTGTTGAATTGATGGCCCCCTTACATTTTTGTAAATTTATACCTTTGTCTCACTTCGTACTCATACTGTATAATTACTGGAGAGAATTTCTTCTACTTTGGATAGGGCAATCGAAGGATATAATTTTTATTTTAACTTAGCATTGATTCACTATGTTAGGAGTACATCTGATTGCTATTGGAAGCAATTATTATCGCTTGGGTTGATAAAATAAGTTTTCGTCTATTAAAATGAACATGAAAAATGTATATATCTATTTCATAAGGCTTATTTTTATTGATATGGGCAAGAATCTGCCATGTTACAATTAACAATGAGGCAACACGTAGTTTCCACTTTTAACCAAACAGCTTGAAAGCAATGTTAAATGATCCTGGCTCTACTTTGGAAACAATAAGGCAAAGTAACAGCGTGAAAGTAGTACTGTTTATTTAAGTCTTTAACTGATTCGAATACATTTCATATGCATACTCGTATAAGGAAATCAATTGGCATACTTTCTGTCGATACACATATTCTGTTATAAGTTTGATCTAAGACTTACAGTAGATACGTAAAAATCTGGTAAATAGTGCTTTCATTGTGGTGCTTATAACAGTAAAAACTAATTGCATAAGATTGAGATGGTCTTGAACCAATCCATAGGGTTTGATAGGCATATGAGCCGATCAATTGCCCAACTTTTTGTAGATGCGCATATTCTACCATATAATTGATCAGCTTTTACACCGAGTAGACATGTATAAATCTGGGCAAATAATGCTTACGTTTGTGATGATAAAAAACGAAAATGACTTTCAATAATACTTAGAGTCGTACTTAGCTCAATCCAATAGATAATAAATGTTATATGCATATTTGGAGATCAATTGTCCAATTTTAAAGATGTGCATATTTTGCTATCAATCTGATGTGACTCACAGTAATACGCAAAATTCTGGAAAATAATACTATATTCTTATTGGTAATTGAAAGTATTCAAAAATTAATTTCGTAATAGTTAGAATTGCGTTCTAATCTATCAGCTAGAGTTATCACCTAAATACAGCGATTCTCCTGAGTAAATTAATGATGATTCTATTACAATCCACGCAGCATTTCTACAACAACTTTTCTACATCAGAAATTTTAAATTATTTTCGTTGGGTATTCATTGGCATCAAATGCCATATCACCATGGCATTCTAACTTATTACCATTCTACGAACAAGATCAAAAACGGATTCAAATGACAAATCTAGGTATTGTATTAATGAACTATTGTAATGCAAAATTGAAGGCCAATTTTTCTACTCAAGAACTATGCAGAGAAAAGTGATTAAATCTTATGCCTAGACATTGTGCCTTATCATGTGTTCATGCTTGATTCTTAAGATGGAACGTGAATCATTTCTTTCCACCAAGACTGCATTACTGTATCTCAAGAGTATTCATAAACCATAACCTTAAAGGATAAATTTGAGCATTTTATTGTTATTGACAGTACAACAAGTAGAGCAAATGAGTTGATGAATGTACTGCACTGTTGTTAGTTACTTCATGCAAAACCACTACAAATCTACAGACAACTTGAAAACCACAAACCATATATAATTTTTAGGTATCGGCTACGAGAAAAGGCTTATTTTTTCAGAGTGATGTATGCTCGCTTAGCACTTTGATACAACACTTGTTCAATCTTAAATTTGGTTCGAGCAACTAAAAGCATATCCGAACTGTTAGCTAAATCCCGCAATTGATCCGCTACACACAACCCAAATCGATTAAAATCATCCATCGGTTCACCGTCTTCTGATTGCCATTCTTGAATAAGTTTCATAGCTTGAGCAACTAAAACACCCTCTATTTTAGCATTCTTGAATTTCCGTTTTCCTTTCTTCCTGTGATGCTTAGGTCGAGTTGCTATTGACATCCCTTCTTCTATTTCTGATCCATCAGTCAATGAAAGCTCGCTATTCCATTGCTCTTCTGTAGTCTGTAAGTAAGTTTTGCAACTTAGTGTACTAGTAATGGCACAACCAATTTTAAGTTGAAGCATGCCTTTAATTTTGGTGTTGATTCCACCACTTCCCAAGGTGATTCTTCCAAAGGCTGACACAGACATATATTAGAAAAGACAACGACATGACATTGCAAATGTACATCATACTATTTCTATCCAAATCACTCATTACTGTTGAAATTGCTTCGACTGACGCTGATTCAATTCTTGTTGAGGTCAAAGAATCATCACTTGGCTACAAAATGTGGTTAAAAAGAAATAACGATCTCGATCTTTACAATGCAAGTAGCTACTGCTCAAATTATTTTCATAAAGCCTACAGTTGATGTTGCTGATGTCTTCCTTCGTAATGAGGCTTTCTGCACATAGAATGCCATCATATGAAATTGAATCACTTTAGTTTTATTTTAATGCCTATTCTTATTGCCTGTCTAAAATCATTTGGTGCAATACCTGCAATGTTTTTAAGGCCATCAAGAATCGCTAAAATGAATGGTTTGGTTGATGACTTTAGATGTATAAATAGAACGAGGCCACCAATAAAGGACAGTGGAGAGCCTAGAGTACCGTACTGCTATTACATAACTACATTAGAATTTAATTATTGCTTTTGAAACTACAATCCTCTGATCAACAAATTTTTTGAAATAAATTTATAATGTAAGCAGTTTCCAGTTCATTAATCTATTTCTAAGTTTTCTATACGCCTACAGATTTAGACTACGAAAAAAATTGCAACGTCATCCAATTTGTAAGTTGTCGAATACAAATTAGTTACTACTCATTCAACACCACGGTAAATCAGCCTGCTGTGCTATAAAAGTAAATGGCTGCTCAAGTCTTAGTTAAACTTTAATATACGAGTATATTAAATTAAGTGATGCGCCAAAAATTGTCAAGTATAGGCTGGAAAAATAAAAGACACAGTAAGAATTACTACTGTAAGTGATCAGAAAGTCTTCTCTCATTTTACATCCGTATATACGTAGAAGACGGTAATTATTGCAAAATTTGCATTTGAAATCAGACACAACAATAACTCTAACTTATAAAACTAAATCCAAAGTCATTCACCTACTTCAAAACTGAAATAGTTTCTTGAATAGAATCAAGCACTAGTGTACCTGCTAAGCATGGCGTGTTTTGGATCTGCAATTAGTATAACAATAACTGTAATTCATAAAACTAAAACCAAAGTCATGTACCTGCTGAAAAGTTGAAAAATAGCTTTACTACTTCAATAGAATCGAGCAATACTGTACCTAAATTGAGAAAGCCAATCTTTCTTCACCTGTGGTTCATAACATGATCTATTAGCATGCTTAGCTAGATTAAGTTTCTTAGACTCCAATTAATTAATTATGAATAATAAATAAACTATCTCATATGATAGCAATTCCAGAAAATATTAGATATTTGTCGAAATCATTTAGCTTGTATTTCTTCCATTTATCATTCTGATATTACGCAAAATACAGGGTTCATTCCAGTCTATCGGATAGAAATTGCAAAGTATGCAATAATTATAATTTACTATACTATCACATCAATCTACAATTTTCCCTGCTAGATCTAAATCTGCATAGTTTAGACTGCCGATTGCTTGGCACTATTAGGCTACTGTTAAAGTTTTAATAAAGAAAGCTAGCGGTATATTAATTCATACTTTTAAATCTCTGTGCATTGATAGATGATAAAAATCGTACAACCTGTGCAATGTACATTACTTCTCACTTTCTTATCGCCCTACATGTACACAAGGATTTTATCGTGTTACTAGTGCAGAATTAAATTAAATAAATATTTAAACAAACTTATTTACGACATTTTGGTGCTTATTTCGGTAATATTGCCTGCGCAAAGTTCGCTATAAAATGTTGCTGCTATTTATTAGCCTGTAAATACAATTTCATCAGTTTGTTGTTCATGGTGCTATAGGCTCCATACCTTATCTTACATTATAATTATTGGAATTAAGAATAAGCACAATTTCTTCTTCGCTTAGTGCAGAGGTACCCTATCAATACCTAATTACAGTTATTAATTAATTGCTTTTCATGACAAGTAATGACAATAGATTTGATACTAATATAGCAGTCCTGTACACATTCTATACCTATGGATTTCCTACATTGGCCCCACAGAATTACTGTACACTAAGGCTATAAATAACCAAGGTATTCCTCTAGGGCGTTAGAAAGCCAAAGTTATTAAGAAAGCAGTTACAAGGTAGAAAGAAGCAATTTTACCCAACTCACATACTATTAGTCTTATTTTTGATTACACGATCAAGCCTGTCTGCAATATTCATCCATCATGAAGAACTTAGTACTATTCCTCGACATTCTCTTCCTTCTCATCGTTTCCTTGGCTGTGACATCTATAGGTAGGTTTACTAGGCAGAATTCAAATACCGATAATAATTCAATTTGGTTCTACTCTTACCTAATTTCCTACTGTATTGTGCTTATGTTTGCGTAATAAGTAAAAGTCCTTCCACTATACTATGAAGATGGACAATCCCATCGCATTTATCTATATCATACTGAGCTTATGCTTGCAAAGTTGAGTAAATATAGTGCGTTTCGACTACTGAATCTTGTAGTATTAATCGATTCTTTTTCCATGATAACCTTGAGAATGTGTTCCTGTCATTGTTTGCACAGTAGAGTAGATATAGTACTTTTTAACTGCTCAATCATGTAGTATCCAAATTTCTTCCAACACTAGTACATAAAAGTGTATAATTTATCGCTTTTACTTAAATTATTATGTTAAGTTAATGCTTGCAAAGGAACGTAAGAACTGTTCAATTGCTAAATCAAGTAATACTAAAATTCCTTCAATTATATCGTGAGGAGAATATATAATCTATTATTTCTACCTTAATTATACCGAGTTTATGTTTGCAAAGTTAAGGCGATATAGTAATTTTCAGCCGCTAGTTTATGGATAGTCAAATTTCATATCCTATACAGAAAGGAAATTATAATAGTCAATCGTTTAGATAGTTTAGACTTTGGAAAACTTAGGTCTGAGTAATTAGAACTTCACGTCCTGCCAGAAAATAAATTTTAATAAAGGCAGCCACTTAAAAAGTTATTACGGTTTTGATAGGAGGTGAAATATCCAAGCTCGAATGTACGTTTGAAAGAAATTTTTGTAAATGGCATCATTCGGCAATCGGTCACTTTGATTGGGTACGCCATAAGGGAAAAACTCCAAGCTCTCGAACTGGACCCTCCAATGATCACACGCCATATCCTCGTGCTCGTAGGATATTTTTGCTTTCATTTCAATCATTTTGTTTTTAAGGATGATAGCAGAGTTACCTTAATCTATGCTAGATCAAGTTTTTAAAATAGAAACCATGCCTAACTATAACGATTTTGAAACTAGGCTACTATGCATACATTGAAACATCCGCTCCACGCAAGGAACTAGACTTTGCGATGTTAAAAAGTGGACCCTTCCATGTCAAAGATAAATGCTGCTTTTCATTATGGTTTAATGCCAATGGTAAAGATGTGGGTAGTTTAATAGTATTGGATGGTAATAGCAATATTGCAAACTTTCTGGGGGATCGTGGTAATGTCTGGCGGAAGATGAAGAAAACACTTTCAGCTGGTCCTCATTCGGTAAGCCATACATAACTTGACGATGAATACCTTCTTCGACTCAAACTTTCCCTTTTGCTTATAGCTAAGTATTATAGGTGTACGAGGCAAAAGTTATCGAGGTGATATAGCTATAGATGACATCGATGTCGTTGAAGGTTCCTGTCGTAAGTAGCATCCATTGGATTGAAAATTGCTTTACACCATTTGAATTCTATATCCATTATTGCATTACAATATTTGGTAATTTATACATACGTCGGTGTTGACGTTAATGTAAACATATATGCAATTCCATATCGTATACAATCTGTAGTTATCGTTTTTATGTTAGTTATTGCAATACAAATTTTCAGCGATTAAATCGTGATTTGTTGGTCATTAATGCTTATTTATTAATGATTGACTCAATAGCCAAGTCTACTTGTTCAGATCAACCATGTGTGGAAGGTTTTTGCATTGGAGTACCGGGAAAGATTTCTTGCGTTTGCAATCCAGGATATACTGGCAAATATTGCGATACCTCAATCAATGCTCTTCAGGATCAGTCTTTAGCCTTGACAACAACTTGCCAAAAGAATCGTTGCAAAAATGGATTTTGCATCGAAACTCCAAGCAACTCGACGTGTGTTTGCAATCCTGGATTTACAGGAGATCGTTGTGATTCGCGTAAAGATAGTAATTAAATATATCTCCCTACAATTGGCTCTAATCTTTATGAGAATCATATCAGCAAAGGATTAAAATAAAAATTTAACCGAGACATGATACAGTAATGAAATAGTTTTTCTATTGCCTAAAGATACTTTTTGTTTGTTGTGAAAGATTTCTCGTATTCAATGCAACAAGAGTCGTCTTTCAAGTCTTGATTATCATCATTCAAGTATTTCTTGAGTAGATTGAACAGTGCAGTATCGATGTTGTTTGATAAAAGCATTATGTGAAATTATAAAATATTAATACATGGTTAATCATCCTTGGATGACCAGCTAAATTTAACGCTTTACTTGTAGAACCGTTGCGAATGATTGAATAAACGTTCTTCTCTAATAACATCCATTCATTCAGGCTCCGTAAATTTGTTGGTAAACTTGAAAAATTTCATTTGTGAACTGTCAGCAATTGAATACAGTAGAGTCCATATATAATATACGAGGATACAGTAGGTTTATCTACGATTTATGTAAGATATGGTTTTATTAACAAAGTTGGGGAAACGGATGTGCACAATGAATAATTCTATTCTGCTGACTAGCTATAACTAGGTAATGATAGAGCAAATCATCAAGAATAGATTGAATTCATGGACCAACTAAATATAGCTGTTAACATCTTGACTTGTAGAGCAATTCTGAATGAATGACAAATAATATTGCTCTAATAATGAGCAGACTCTATTCATTTTTTTCCCTGAAATTTGCAAAATCTCATCTATGAGCCGTCATCCGAAATAGAAAAATCCATAATTACATAGGCAATGGACCAATATTATTAAGTCGAACTACGACAGTATGTAAGACATGGTTTCATAAGTAGAGTTAAGAGAAAAAATGAATACGCACAGTCAATTGTACTCGCATCCTACATTACTAAACGACCATAAAGTTGGTCGGTTTATGACGCTAGCAAAGTTGGGGAGAAGAAGATGCACGTAGTCAGTTTTATCCTTTTGACTAACGATCTACAGGAAACGACGTATCATTTATAAATCAATTATCAAGGATAGATTGAATTGAAGGACTAACGAAATATAGCAATTACGGTAACTTTTTGAATAAACTTGTACAGTGATAGGAATGAGCAAATAAACATTATTCTTTAAATAATGTTCAGACTCTGCTAATACTATGGTATAAAAATCATCAACATGGAGTATGATACTCCATGTTGCCGAATTCAGTACCATGGTGTATAATTTATCCCTAAACTTGTCAGATTTCCTTGGTCACCTGCCAATAGGAATAGAAGAATACGCAATGGACTAGCATAAAAAGCAGGTCGATCGGTGATGCTGTGGATGATACGATTTTAGTAGCAGAGTTGTGGAAAAAAAATATATACTCTCAATTCTGTGTTACTGACTAGCTATGGCTAGGGAATGATATAGTAAGTAATAATCAGATTACAAGAGAATTCGTGAATTTACTCGAAGTGGTAATCTACGAAATAATAACGACATAAGCTGGGTTTGAAAAAATAGAAAATGGTATATAGTCGTGAATACTGTCGTATATTAAGAGCTTTGAAGTCAGTAATCATTAATTAACTATTGGATTGGAAGATATCTCCATAACGGTAAAGATCGATTCGTTTTGTTGTACCTATGCTAGATACTGCCACTGGATGGAATAGTTCAAGCTCATCATTGAAATAGGGCATATCATTAGCTTGGTTTGAAACCAATCGAGAAGATATACCGTGGATTAAATATCAGCTTCCAAAAGGTAACTAATCATGCAGTACCGTAATGCTTGGAAAAGATTTTGTCAGTTATTTTAATGGCTATCAGATGGTCAATATATTCTTGTTCTTATTGCTACATGAAATCGGGCACATAGGCTATCCTCTCATAGAATTAATTAATTATTGAGCCCTATTCTACGTAATATCCAGATTCAATTTTACGTCAAACACATTTATTTTACTTTATACTTTATTGTATTAACAGTAATTCCTTTCAACAGTTTCCTAATTCATATATATTTAACATTATACAAATAACATATTTAGTATAGATTGATTCCCTTAGTCGTGTCTTGCTACCTGCAAAGCAATTCAGCATTAACAGTATCCATAATGGCTAGAATAAAGTCCTTGTTGTAAATTCATTTTACTATACGCTTGGCCAGTAATTTTCGGTAGCCACTGCTTCTTCAGGGATTACTTTTATTCTTGAAGAAAATTTATGTTATGGCTGTATTCATTTTACTTAATTATGTAAAGTTGAAGCATGATGGTAAAGATTTACTTGTTCCATCTGGTTGCATTACCTGATAGAACAAAATCCAGCGAATAGGATTTATTTTCGTAGACAAGGTGTTTGTTTGCTCATTCAAAGATATTCATTTGAAGTATAAAGGTAAGAGCAAGAATTAGCTTGAATTGAGGCCTATGCTTGCTGATCTATTTCTACCAGTTTTACAAGCCCAAGAAAATCTCATTACGCTGAAATTTACTATGCCTCATTGTCTTGCTCTACCATTGCCAATCATTTCAAAAGTCATCGTCTGTCAAAACCTTTTTATTTTCATTCGATGACATGCTTGATTGAAGATTTAAATTCATTTTACTTTTATCGTGGAAGGCATACAACCAGAGCATAACGGTAAGATTTGCTTATTCCTTTGCCATGGCTATTATTCCTGATTGCCGACTGTCGCAATGATATTCTCATTCGATATCATATATATCCCGGTACTAGTAATGTATTATGCTATATTAAGATTAGTTAATAATCCAAAGCGCATTATGATAACTAATGTACGGTGATGGACATACCAAGTTAAGATTAGCAGGTACTGTAAGATATCGACAGTGCGGTGCAATGTCCTTAGTACTGTGGTCAATTCTATGCCAATCATGATAATGTGTCTAAGGATCGCTTGCATATGTAAGCAAAGCTTGCTCTGTCGATAATAACCGTTATAAGAAAATGGAACTATCAAAATGGCTGTGTAGAAAACTTTATAAAGATTGTATGTTTATTCAATTTTTATCAGAATATTACATGAAATCAAAATTGAAAGGCCCAGTGGCCACCCTTAGCGATATAACGAATACTATTTCAAAAATCAGTACTCTGTAGAAATGACTACCTTAGAGCTATTCGTTTTACATGAAGAAATCTTGAGGTAAAAAGTACTGTAAGAATCTTATACTGACCTATGAAATCAACCCATATTCAGAGTCATCTAACAGTAGTATAAATACCCCCGCCCTGCTCGTTTCAAGGGAGGGCCGGTGCGGATAGTAGTTGCTCAAGCATGGTGCAAGACTCTTATAGTGAAGAATAGTCTAATATATTCAGTTATCTGCGGAGTTCAGTTGGGAAATCAAGTTGGCGTATATCACTAACATAGAAACTGGAGATACTGGGAGAAGTAACTCGAGCTATTATAGTTGCACGAGAGATTCTTTACTTTGTTAATAAACGTTTCATTTGTCGCCAAGAGAGCGTTGTGATGGAAGGTCACGTTCAATAATTATTGCGAAATAATTTCAATCAGATATTAATTGAAGACAGTTAAGTCATTTTTTTCGCTAATGTTTAATTTTTCTAAGAAATTTAGATTGCTGCACCAAAATTCAATTTTTATCTCAATTATGTCGTCTAAATTAAATTACGCGTATTATCGATAAATTACAATTATTAATCTATGTGACAATACAAAAACTATATAAAAAGACAATGTTTTAACCTTTAGTAGGTCATGAACTACTAGAATACCAGGTATATTTCTAGTGATCCATGAGTAGATGTACCAGTTGTAGCAATCTTCTATAGTATATTACAGTTACAGTAGGCAATATCTTTGCTACTTTTTATAATACTGTATCCCAGTATCCAAACTACTAGGAAAATTCCTACAGGGCTCCGGCTATACTACTACGAGACCCACATATATGATTCTATTAATACAATTTACTTTTATGTAAAGTTACCGATTCTCGATTCCAATACTTTTGACCTTCCAACTTATTCTAAAGTGTCTCAACTTGCAACTTACGCTCTTACGCTTTAGCATGACTGTCACTCGTCTACAGATCAACTAACTACTAAACCTAAAGTTACATGATATTATATACAGTAGTGTACTACAGGTCGTAATCCTACATGCAATCGGGATCGCTACAATTCTTATTATAGTACTACTCGTATATCCTTCTGGCATACCATCCGATTAGTAATGCGAGTATAATCACATTCATACTCACTTTTTAGTGCGTAATAGGGTTACTATAACAATCGTAAACAATCTTAGCATTATGGTAGTATACCAGAAAAGCATATAATTAACTAAAGTACACTATACTACTGAACACGCACACTTCTTTCTCTAGTTATTACTTCATATTTAGCCATTAATTTTATATTGAGCTAGAAATCTAATCTAGTATTAATAATTGTACATCGTTGCGGATACTAGAATGGATCGTCGGCGATATTCGGTAGCGGTCTTTCGTGTGATACACTTTTGTAGGTAATACCGAGATTTCTTTTTAATATTATAATCAAATTTCAGATATAAAAATGGATTTATCACGGAAATACCAACCGTTGTGGAATATGACACAAATGCAAGCACATAATATACCATATTTTCATCTCCCATCTGTCGTAGTGATTTTTTTGTTATGGCTATAGCTATTCCAGTTGCAAAGTATGGCCATGTTATCAATAAATAAGATGCAGCAGTGGCAATCAAAACTTGATTAAATTTTTTTTTTTTCATGTGCAAATTAATTCTAGTGTGGATAGAAATATTTCCAGGTCTAACATAGTTATATTGATGCTTGAATATGCTGCCATACATAAATAATAAAATACCAGTAGGTATAAAGTAAATTATGATAATATTGACGATGAGGGATGCTATCGTGAAAGAGTTGATATGGATCATATCGCATACGACCGTTTCATCTGGATAGACGTCAACGTAAAATATTGCTGGAATATTAAAAATGA